CCCTACCACGGACATCCGCTAATTAGATGGACAGAGGATAAGGAAGGAAGAATTTACACCACTGTTGTTTTTTTATTCCATTTTGAAAACATCATTGTAAAAACAACATGGTATGTGGATGGTAGCACATGGAAAACCATAAACATGTATGTTTCATAGCCTATAACTGCTGTTCAATTATAATTAGCATTCCTCTGTATACCACTAAAGGACTACAATCGTCATTTTATCTTATTCACACAGCTTAATTATTCAAAGTGTGTACCCAGCTTCATGAAATGTTAGGATTAATGAAGCTACGATAGTGAGACATAAACATGCATGGTCCATTTACATTTACTTGGCTAAATTGTTGAATTTACATAAACATTTTAAAACCTTTATTCTTTGATAATGTTGAGAGCTGATGTATTGCCTTTCTGCATAGATAGTGATTCATCCGACATGCAAGTTGTGGAACACTGTAATTACCGGTGTAGAGACGAGTGAAAAGCTTTAAGCAAATGAAGAATTATCTTACAGGGATGTACAGGACTAATGGGGGGCATTTTTTGCGTCACCATCATAATAGATATTGATAGCAGAATACATACATGCAGTGAAGATGAAATGTTTTTCAACACAGTAATTGGAGACTATAATAAATGTGTGTGTTGCATCACATGGTCTGAAAGTGCTCAAGATAATAAATGTCACATTGAATATAGTAATGTTACAGCAAAAACATTTTTCTTGCAATGACATAATTGCTATTCCACTCATTTTCACAAATTATCAGTAATGCCTGGCCATTAAGGGTGCAACAATTCAGGAAGATTCATGCAGGACCCACAATTCAATACAAATGCATTACAGGGCATAGAACACTACACTGTAACAAAGATTATGTGTTTGTCACCAAAATTATTTTTAAAATTTCAAATAGTATTTATATGAATTTATGCTACAGCTGCCCCCATATAACTATAGCTAATAAAGTTTGTACTCAAGAGGTTCTACAGCAGTTAGGTTAAAAGTTTCAGATCTAGTTTGAAACGCAGACACATTTGCTTTGTCCACACACTGGATGTGTTCGTATGAGCATGTCTGACTCTTTTCTTGATTTCTTTTTGCCTTTCATGAAAGTGGAAACTTTTGTTTAAAGACAAGTTTTTAAAGGAGTGCGTGAAGGACATGATGATAATGCTGCATTAACATTCAATAACATTGTATACATACATTACAGTAGCTCAGTTGAAAGAGCATTGGCCTTTGAGCCATAAGGTCGTGGGTTTGAACCCACCTCAAGACTTTCACCATCGACTCCCACTGTCTGCTGTCGTTGTGTCCTTGGCAAGACACTTAACCTCTGGGAACACCAGCCACAGTGGGGCGGCTGCGGCTGTAAAGTGCCAAACTGCTGTTGTGTCCTTAGGCATGACACTTCACCCCCATTGCCTAGAATGAGTCTGGTGTGTGTGTGAATGGTTGGTGGTGGTCGGAGGGGCTGACATACTGGTTGCCTCGCTTCTGTCAGTGTGCCCCAGGGCAGCTGTGGTTACAGTAGTAGTTTATCACCACCGTGTATGGAGTGAATGAATAATGACACATGTGAAGCGTCTTTGAGTGTCCAAAAAAGCGCTATATAAAACCGATGCATTATTATTATTACATATTTTTCTCATTAGCCCATTGGCTGAACACGTCTGTAGCACATGTTTGATTCAAATTTTGAGAGATTTTCTTTTTGTTGAGAAAATAGAAAAGCTGTAACAACGTTAATGACCTGAAACAGGTCTACCCCATGTTCTGCCCAGGTCATAATGAATCCATAAGGGATCAGTCAAGACCACGTCAGCTTCATTTAGCTTTCATTTGTAAGCAGGCCTCTCAAGTGGCTTTCAAATGTGGCACATAAGCAAAGTGAAACGTCTAAAATCACCTTTGTTCTTCACAAGCATCAAATGGACAGCCCTCTCCACAATTCGCCTGCATGCACATGGACGTCTCTTTGGACTCTCAGAACTCCTCATCAGGGTCTGCATCCTCAATGTGGCCCACCATTCACACACCTCGACCCTGACAGCTTCAAACATCTCTGCAAAGGTCTGAGTCACACCAGAACTCAGCATTGCAACCAGACCCAGCAGGATGTTGATCTAGGTCTGATTGGGTCTCTCACCCATCTCAGGGTTATGGTCGCCAGACATAGACGATACTGTATCATTAGTTTTGTTTTCGAACCCCTATTAACTTATGCCTTTGTTTGTTGTAATACACATTAGTACCTGACGGGCCATTTTAATCACAACATCCAAGCAACAGTCAATCCAATTAGTTTGGGTTTTATAGCTCGATATGCTGTGAACGAGGACTCTTTTAAAGGTTAGGCTGCATTCGGACCTTGTCTGCTTCAAATATTTGTGCAGTTTATAAAGTCGGGCAGAGATGGTGGTAACTGTGTGTGCATTAGCTGTGCAAAGGTTTGTTATGTGTAAGTGCACCACTTATGTTCATCATATGTAGCTTTACATGCAAAGCCATGGTAAAGGAATGCATTCAGAATGAATTACTACAGGTACACAGAATTCTTTGAGCCAAAAATATAAAATAAATGATGTGTTAAACTATCTGTGAAAATGGAAATAATGAAAAATAATGAAACTGTCCATCTACATAAAAAGCGGTCGTATGTGATCAGAAACTCGTATACTCATATGTCAGTTCCAATTCTGCAAAGGAGAGGTAGTGACAGGAATGCAATATGCAAGACTTCTGTCAAATCAAGATGCAAATAAGTCCACACTGGGAACAGATGATGGACTTTGGTGAGCCTGAAGGTAAACCCCAATAGCCTTGAATAAGAAGAAATCCTTCCATTCTTGTTGTAGTAATGTAATGATATTTGTAGAGTTAACTCAGATCCTAAAATCAAGGAAGCCCCCATAAGCAAAAGCAAGTGTATGTTGCTTCAGTATCTCTTTGACATATGAGAAATTATGAATTATTACCTAAAGCGAGCAGAATCTAATCTAAATATTCACACATTACACAACTATATACATCAAACTCTATTATCATGAGATTCTGTAAGTAGCCAGTCTGCACAGCCAGACAGTAGGCTAAAATGAGCTGCTAAATGCCAATCAACTTTACCTCTATAAGTAGATGACCAGCGGTATGCTATTGGCCCAGATATTCAAAATTGGCCATTCATGTAAATCAACCCTTTGGCAAATTGTCCACTTAAATGACATTCATTATGCATTGACCCACTTTTGCAATCACTTCACATTAGCACAAATTCCTTCCTTCTTATTCAGCTGATAATTATTATAGTAATCAGAGAAGTGTAACAATTTTGCTCATTCCTGCAAAGCAATAAGAAAAATTCACCTTTGAGCACATTTTATAAAAGCCAAATCTTTTAAAATGAGAAAGTGGAAAAGATAGAGAAAAAGAGTGATTTTATGTTTACCAAAAAGATATACAGTAAACACATTTGAAAGTTCAGCTGGCAAGACTGGCATGAATGATAGATATGACTTGAATACAAAATAAATGAATATGTTTCCAAACTTTTGCCGTGGTTGTGTGACTCGCTTCTCAATTTAATCTCCATTTAACACCTCATATTTCAACTTGGAGTAAATGCCAGGGCTTTAGAGAGGAGATAGAGGGTGATGTCAGAAGCCTTCGGACGCACAGCATCAAGGACGAGCCGACGAGGAGAAAGGACAGAGATAGGACTCAGGTGGGATCAGCTACAATGCTCCTAACGCCACTGTCCGAATACTAATACAGCCCACTCTCACCTGAGCAGGACACAAACACAGGCGAGGGAACTTAAACAAGGCAAAGGAATCCCCTGGACTTCTTTGTAAGACTTTTTGGTTGCCAAAGTTTTTCTTAAGTAAAAAGGTAAAAAGTAAAATGCATTTTTGTATTATTTTATAATATTAACAATATATTTATTTGAGAATGTCTTAAGCCTTTGAAAAACTTACACAACATTTTACATTTGTAGAAAAGTCTTATACAGATCTGATAATAACCCAAATATGGAAGACAAATGGTGGTCTGTACTTAGAGGCATTGCTAACCACTTCAAAACTGTTTTAACTTTATGTCACCATGTTTCTTACAATATAAAATGGCTTGTTACTTTGCAAATTTGAAAAGTAACAAGCCATTTTATATTCTAAGAAGTAGAAAGTACAGATATTTAATAAAGTACTAAAGTCTCTAAAGTAAAATACTCGCTACCTCTGATGTCCGGTTAGGATTGATATGTAGACCATGTAGTGAAGCAGTGACAAAAGTTCAACATTAACAGCAACAAGTAAAACATTTTCTATTGAGAATAGGCCTCCAAAGTATAGAGCAAGAAGAATCTAAGTTCACTTACTTAGCTAAGCTACTCTAAAGCTTGGAATTTGGACATCCAAGTGAATAGTTCCATCAATCAATAATCTAAAAGAAACCATGTTGCTACCCACTCAGCCGCCGTCTTTTCGTAAAGCACTTTGAATTGCTCTGAGATGGGCTCTACAAATAAACGTGCATTGCCTTAACTATTTGGATTCTCAAAGTGGTCGCCTTTCTTGCACTGAATATTCATGAATTAATGATTCCATTGTCAAGGGGCACATTAGCCTGAAATATATTTATCGTTATCATTGTGGCCAAGTCTCCCCATTCAGACAACATTGTGACAAAACTAAATATACAAATATTCTTTATTTATTTTACTTATTGCAAAAAATATTAACACATAAACTGCAATACCAATACTTGCACTGCAATTCAACTCTTTCCTGAAAAACATCCAGAGTGCAAAAAGTCTAAAAATCCCCCAACTCCCTTGACGGTCATGCTTCCATTCAGACAGCTTGCACACAGCTGTCAAACTAAAACATCAAAATGCATGAGCAAACAGCATGGAAGTCACCAGCAGCAAAGTTGTGTGTGTGCACTTGTGTGTGTCAGTGTGTGTGTGTGTGTGAGAGAGAGGCACGTACAGTTGTTGAGGAAGAGTAGAACAGCGAAGCCCAGCGTGGACATGGCCAGCAGGATCAGGCAGATGTTGCATGGTATCATAAAGTAACGCACCACCAGCGACACTTTGTGCTGATACCTCCTGTCCCGCTCCGGCGGTGGTGACGGGTAATGACAACCATTCATACTCCACTCCAGAGACCCCCTGCCATCCATGCCCGTGGTCACTCCGGGACGGGGCGGTCGCCGGGAGTTTCCCAAAGACCCGTTGGAGAAAATGATGGCGGTGAAGTTGATCCACAAGATGAAGAAAAAAAGGGGAAGTAGTGAAAAGTGTTGCGCTTCAGCTGGGGCTTTCAATGGTTCCCAGGCAACGCATCTCTACCTATAATAACATCCATTTGTCTGGAAACGAGTGCAGGCAGGGACCTCTGACTTTTCACAGCCCCCCACCTGTCCACCTTCCTTCCATTCTGATGCGCCCACTGGGAGATAGACTTGTAATATGTTCTAGTGTGTGCGTATTCGCTCAGTGCCTTATACTTACATTGGGAACATGTGTAGTTAGAAGTGGGTGGTTGTATTTGTAAAATGTGTGCTTTGAATTTTCACTGTGCCCCTGTGGATGAGAGTGTAAGCCAAAAGAATTATGATTAACCGCGTAGGTGTTTTTAGTCATGTATCCAGCGAGAAAAATTCCACTGTAAATCCACAAAAAAACGAACTCTCTCTCATTTCTCAAAAAAGTGCCTGCGGGTAATTAGCCTGGGACTCCTACTGTGCACCCCTTGTCAAAAGTTCAAAAGTTTTTCAAAGAAGTGACAGTGGGGTTGCGTTCTGGAACTTGTGTTAGAGAGCTCTTGGGAAAGCGTAGTTAGTTGCTCCCTTGACTATTCATTTTCCAATCTTTGTATTCTCTCTTTTGGGCAATCCCTTGGAGCCTCTGAAGCTATATTTACTAAGCCAGGATCCGGGCGCGTTGAGGCAGCTTGTGTCCGCTGTGGTTTGATTAGTGGGGAGGCAGGGAAAGCAGCATGCCCCTGGGGACAGTTTGCTGCTTGCTACCCCTCACGACTGCCACTCCTACCTGGTTCAATAACCTTTATCTTCAGTGCAGTTGAAAAAGGGAAAATAAAAACAGGCGCCCACCCGCTCTGTACGACGGGGGCAAAAACAAGTCAGAAATAACAAGCAAAAAAAGTTCCACAGACGGTTTGTGACAGACTGAACGTCTTGTCAGCAACTGCAAGATACTTCAAACTGAGCAAAAAGATTGGCTTGAGAGGGATCCAAAATCAGGCAGACAGCTTTAGGCAAAGATTTATTAGGCTTACTTTCCACATGTCATCACCCTAACAGAGAATCCCCTCAGAGGCAAAGCACTCTCTCATCGCTTTGTGGTTCTTGCAAGATTCAAGTATCCGGACTTGAATTTAAAGCCGGACTTCCCTGGAGTTGTCCGGAATCTCATATGTTTCCACTTTGCAGAGCTGTCTTAGTCCAAACGGGAGTCTCGGTTCTTCCATTCACAAAGCTGGCTAAACACCCGGGCAAAACAATACCATTCAAAGCCAGGTTAATCCCTCTTTCACATGTACAATTGTTCCTAGTGTTGAGACAAGAAAGACAACACCGTTTAGGGAATGGGTTGGCGAGGAAATCTTATCCGAGGGAGGGATGGAGGCAGTAGAAAGTTGCGTCCACCTTGTGTTGGAAAAGCAGCAGTCTCCCCGTGTTGCCGGCATGCCACAGACAGCGAGCATGTGTGCGCTGTTCTCAGAGCCGGCGGAACGGATGAGCGCATAATGAGAGTGCCTGGCTGATATCGCAACAGAGAGGAGAGGAGAGAGAGCGTGCGCACATGGGGGTGTACGAGGGGCCGTCGCTAACAAAAGGAGAGGGGAGGAGGAGAGGAGAGAGAGAAGAAGAAGGGAGGGGGGCAGATGAAATGGAAGAGAAGGAGAATTGGTTTTTAAAAAAAGGGGGGATTCAAGACTTCTTGTTGGAGTAGAAGGGGGTTGCTCCAAATAGCAAAACAAAAGAGGTCGGCAGAGATGTCAACCAACTCGATCGTTTGTTGTTGCTCGAATCAAAAGAGAAAGTCAGACGGCTTGCAAGTTTTTTTTGTCTTGTTTCTCCTTCCAAATGATTTAATGAGCGGAAAAAATAGGTCGGTGAAAAGAGGAGGGTGTCAGGGGAGGGGAAGTTAAAGACATTAAAGTCAATTCTGTATTGTGCATCTCCAAACAGCACTTGTTTGACAATCGTAGCAGCCAAGTCTTGGGATACACAAGCCAGTATTGCATTAATTAACTATTTTATCTCACTAGGTATTGTGTGCTGTTGCCAATAATGAATATTCAACACATCTGGCAAATGATCTAAAGTGGAAATATTCTTGAGTATTCCAAGAACACATATCTAAGTGTAAGATAATGAGGTCACAATCTGTTTATTTTTTTTATTTTTTTTTCATTTCAAAGTAACACCATAAGTTGTAATGCACTTAGTAAAACTCCATGACAGCAGGCAGTAAACGCATGCCAGAGAGTGTAATGTATTATTTATGCTTTTTATCCTTGGTGTCTCTGAATGTACACATAAGACACAACTTTCTACATCTTTACATAAGGGCTGCGCGCACACAGGGCTCACATCCACAGTGACGCGCACAAATTGTTTCTTCAGTCAGTGTGGAGAAAAAAAGGCATGAGGAATAATGGCCATCTTCTTCAGAAAGAAGCATAAAATGGAGAGATAAAGGCAGACTTGCTTTGTTGCGAAAGTGGACAATAGTGCTTTTGAATGAGGAGGGATGTAACTATAGAATCACATCTGGGTGAAATCTGCTAAAATATATAAAATACAATACAATGCTCATCAACCTACAGATATGTAGATGTGCCAATATTGCCCAATTTAACACAGTATTAAAGCTGTCTTAAATACGTATGTAAAGTGTGCCATAACAATAAAAAGGCAATATAACTGTGCATTTATTGTTTATTTATAGTCTCTGTATGACTATTACACAAGTGGGCTGCTGTGCACTGGAAGCTGTTTTTCAGCATAATACCACTCCACATGGTTTAAAATAATTTTATAAGCTCAATAACATCACATTATGACTTTTTATTTTAGCTTTGTATGCGACCATCTAATTAGACGTTCACATGCAATGTGTTTTGTGTTGATGATACATAACTATAATTAAAGGAAGGAAAACACATTTACATTACATTATAAAGACTGCAATTCGGGCGTTCTGCTCTCCCAAAATTCCATCCGATGGGCGGGGGAGCGACTGAATTTTGCGTTGCATTATGGGTAACACTTGCCTTCGCAACTTCCGGTTCTCTCTGCCCGGCGCATTTTCTCTAAATGGTTGAGTGTTTTCGTCATTTTACATTATGCAAATACATTCCCGTCTCTAACTAGTGGCATATCGCGCAAATCATCCGTCCAATTCACATTCTTCCCTCTTAGCTGAACTTCATTCTCATTGTTACCATCTGTCACTCGCACACACAGCCGTTTTCGTTCACTCTGCTCGCTGTCATCTTCTTCTAAATCTTCATAAACACCATCCGCTCGTTGAACTAGCAACAACAATTCCTCCTTTCGTTTTCCCACACTGCAAATACCCTTTCGCTTCAACCTTTCACGCAATTCAGGCACTGTCAATTGCTTGTTGTTTTCGTGAGCCATATTCGCCATTGTATGAAATCAACCGGAAGTGAACTGGGCAACAAACGGTGTCATTTTTTGATCACAGCGCCGCTCAGTGGATGGAATTTTGGGAGAGCAGAACGCCCGAATTCTGGCATGGCTTCTGAATAAAGACCTAATAAGTGGGTGGTGTTAAAAACATTACATCCCACTTCAGCTGAAGAAAATTACAGTAGGCAGAGATTAGGGTTTATATTCTATGATTCCTCATGACTTAATATGGATCATCAGTGTAGATTTTTTTGCTGTAAAGATGAGGGGATGAACATGTATTTATATAGCACTAAAGGCACTTTACAAAGGCAGAGTAACAAAACAAATGGAAAGAGGAGAGTTAGCTAAGCTTTTCAATGTTTTTGGAGTACAATTTTTTTTTCCATTCACTACACACAGTCTATACATACATATATGTAAAGATTTTTTTTTTTTCCCGTAAATATGTACTTTCCCCAGTCATTTATTATTAGAGCATTTACCTTTTTACTAGAATTTCACCATCTGCATGTGACTGTCATGTGACTGTCAGGTAATCTATCACTCTTATTACTACCAACTGTGACCACTTGACATTACTTGCCTTGATGAAGACCAGAGAGTAGTCAAAAGCCAAGTTGCTTTGAGCATCAGATACTTTTCCAATTGTGAAGAGAGAGTTAAAGATAGTTTGACCCGCCTATGCTCACTGTGTGGCTTCCTGATTGGTCAAAATGATTTAAAATCCATCAACATTGGTTTAACTTTTATCCTACACCAAATCTTACTGGTCGTAGCAATGTCAATGGGAGTGATAGTGATTTATCGCTGATAAACACATACTGTACATCCTAGTATTGGGACTCTAGTCAGGTCATAAGTATACATTATTTTAAATATGAAATACATTTACATATTTAAGTGTACATTAGTGTGTGGCTGTTGCTGGTTTGCACTGTAAATTGATTGGGCAATGTTCTTTTCAAATAAATACATACAATAAAAGTGTACTTTTAATTATTAATTTAACACTAACATATTTTCCGGTTCAACAACCCCCGTAAATAGCATTGCCATGATCGAAATGTATCATTATACTCATAGTACATGAAAACAGGTTGATGTAAAGTGGGGGATGTGCCGCCCTCAGAAGCACGTTTCGAGTCTGAGCCTGCGATTTCTCCAACGCCAGTGTATAGATTCAAAAGCGAGTGGGGGGGGGTGGGTCCTTTCTTCCCCTGTGTGTCATGCTGAGGGTCACTGGTTCATCACAAGCCCCGCCTCTTGTGCATTTCTATACCCCAGACGGACTAGCACCTCACTGCTCTGCAACACAACACATTCTGATTGATCGACTGGCTGAGAAGTAGAAAGCTCAACATCTGCTGGCGTTTCCTTTTTCTCATTTGCCCACTTTCATCTGGAGCTGGAGACGACATGGGAGACTCCACGGTTCACCCAGAGGTTAAAACAATTACACGGTACTGTCTGTTTACATGCAAGAAGAGATGTAC